AATCAAATTGCTGATTTAACAATTCAATTGCTAAAAAAAGTGACTACAACGTCTCAACGTAGATTTTACAACAAAAATGCTACTTTAACCACCATTGTGAGCTAATTTAACCACGGGGATGGTTAAAATAGCATTTTTTTGTTGTAAAATCTACATTGAAACATTGCAGTCACTTTTTTAGCAATTGAATTGTTAAATCAGCAATTTAATTTTTTCCGTGTATGGAAATAAATTGACAGTTCAACACAGGTCTAATGAAGAGAATACAATGCTGCCAACTCTCTGGATCCGCCAATGGCGCACCCTAGCCGGATAACAGCGCTGTACCAGCATCATCAATACGCTAAATACTTCAAATTATTACCATGCTATGGATAAACGGCACAAGAACATGCTGACGCTGTCAAATTTCCTCAGTAGAATACGAATTTCCCGGGGTACTTGCGGTAATTTACCTCTGATTGTTTCAGAGAGTTTTATTCGCAATTTATTCTGGCATATCTGCAAATTTCAAGGGGGAATATTCATACCGCACGTCAGAATTCACTTTATCGGCGGAAGTTTGGCAACACTCGGATGTCCATACGGCGTTCTTCCGTAGTGCAGCAGATTTCTGCCGTGCTAAGGAAGAACGCCGTATGAACCTTCCAACGTTGCCAAATTTCCTTCGATAAAAACAGACTTTACTGAGAAAATTGTGAGGATTTTTTTTTTTGAAATTTTCGGACAATTTTGTACGCACTTTAATCTAAAATATGTGAAAATTTTAGGGGAGAATATGTATGAATTTCGTCATAAATGCATGTTCCATCAGGAAAATTTGGCAACTCTGGAATGTTAATACGGCATTCTTCCTTAGTGCAGCAGATTTGCCAATCGATTGAAATGCAAAGCTCAAGCCCGACCGGTTCTTTTGGCCATCATGTCCCGGTCATCGCGACGTGCGACGTTGCCACGCTGAGCTGAAATTAGTTGTACATCTTGCGACCGAAGGCGATACTTGCGCCTAATTTGACAACCTCGCTCCCGAAACATCGCGCGCGCGTGCGCTGACACAATCTCAGACGGCTGCAAGTGTCGAAATCCTCATGTTGAGGAGGAATCCCCCTCTGCAAATTTTACGGCCCGTTCTCAATGACGTCATGGGGTGGGGAGGAAATTGTTAGGAAATCCAACTTTTCCCTAATAGCACAATAGAATGATTTAGTAGCCGCATCATTCTTTCCATCTACGACCTATCAATCTTCAAGCATTCCAAAAACTAACATAATGGAGAATTTGCAGGTGTTTGTAATTTGATGAATTCCGTGGTTGAATGGACGCTACCAAGTGAGCTGAACACGAGGATACCCTTGGTTCATAAATTGAAGAATTATTGGAAGAGATATGACAAATTGATCTAATCTGCTAAAATACATGCGTTTAAAAGGGAAATGCCACCAGATGACGTTAATAGGCGGCGCATTTTCTCACTTTTAAATCTATTTTTATACTATTTCCCATAGCCGACATTTTTTTAAAAAAAATACTGAAAAATCAGCTTTTGAAGCGCTTTTAGATGAAGCAACAACAATGCTTGCAGATTCTCCATTGATTTAAGAATGAAGGTTCAAAAAGAGACAAGAGGAGACCCTCCATTGGTATCTTGGCAATGGTGGGAGCTCTTACTTTCGAGGCTCCAACATTCAAATTTTAACCTACCTAACAAATAAAAAAAAAATTGAAAAAACTTGAAAAAAATGTTTTTTAATTGAAAAATGAAAATTGACGATAAATTTACATTTATAATATTAATAGTGTCAATGTTAACATTTTATAGATGAAGTTCAATGAGATTTCATTTTATACTCGAAATATCTATAATTATTGTATTAATAATTCTTATAACTTGAAGATATCAGCCAGAGCGACATGTTAAGAATTTTGCTAAGCGAAACAAGCCAAAGTTTGATGAACTTGTTGTCTCATCATGTCACTCAAAACTCATCATCCATTAATTGGGTAAAATAGCTTGTTGCCATGTGATTTTCCATTAGTCCCTGAAATTAAAAGTTTCCACCTGTCGCCGAGAGGTCGGTACAGGGTCTCTGCTTGTCTCTGGGTCCAAACCATGAAAGTAATACATAACCTCATGTCCATATTCTGTGTGAATTCATGACAATTTTGCCATTAACAAGTCATAAATCTATCAATGACTCATTAAGCATTAGACATCTTGATTGCAAAAAAACACTTGAATGCATTTTACCACCATGGCGTGAAAGGGACAAGGTTATTCGTCTGTTTACGATGGAACAATCGAGCTGCGTTATAAAACTTTGCTACCAAATGAGATGTATAAAATATGAGAATATGAAGCTTAGAAGATGTTTCAAAGATGTTTCTCCAAAACGAAGGAACGATTAAAATATTATGAAACTGACTAGTTTAAAGTTTGAAGTTACTGAAAAGTTTAAGGAGATGAGTGGTGGTGATATGCTTGCGTCTCAAACAAGTTTTACAGTCATTTTCAACCATTTAAAAGATTTGTTTAGAATGTTTGAAAGTCATTAATTAAAATGCATTAAATGCTTCAAAGTCATTCAAGTCATTTGAAAATATTTCCAAACGTTGTATGGAAAAAGTCTTTCTTGAGAAGTGAATGAAAAAATCAGTATTTAATATTTTTTCTTTACCATTAAAAGTTTATAACTTTTTTAAAATTGTTTTTCAAATCTTTTTTAAATTTTTTAATTCCTAGTTTCAAAAACCAAATATAAAAAAAACACATATTTTTGACATTTAAAAACGGTTTACGAAAAAAAGGAGTTTCCCAGATTTGTTTAATGTATTGCTCAAAAGTATTTTTTAATCCCTCCTAAAAATCGGGTTTTTGCAGATTAAAATGAAACGTTTCCAAATATTTTTTTTCGGCGTTCTATTATTGTTTACTCAAAACGTCTCTCGTTTTACATGCGTCTCTTTTTTAGAGGATTCCCCCGCGATGTATTTTCAGTATAAAAGGGAACGCAGAAACTATTGGTTTTAAAAGTTAAATGAGATGGAGATTAAGTAAATCGTTGGCATTTGGAAATTTCCCGTGAGTCATCAAAACGGACGGAAAAGACGCGTGACCGATTGTCATTCTTGGCGACAAGTTTAAACCCACATGCACTTTAGCAATGCAAATTTGCCGAAATAAGTCGTATCTTACATAATCGTTGCATTCGATCATGAGCTCACTTGATGGATGGGTTTTGACTTCATCTTTGAGCAAACTCCTTCATTCGCTCTTTCAGTTATTAAAGGTCATTTTCATAAATGCAGTTGCAAAATTAGTAATTTTGGTTCTACTTCGTCGGTCAAAGTAAGTGACGATCGAGCGCAGGAACCGGTGGTCCTTAACAATGCACACAAAAAAGATGTAACGCTGATGAAAGATTGTGTCCAAAAACAGCCCTTTCCAAAATTTGAAACTAGTATCAGAAAATGTGGAATGTGGTCGTCACATTGTGATGAAAATCATATCATATACATGTCTAAAAACTTGAAGTATTCAAATGTCATCAAACAATTTGGCAACGTAGAAGTGCAGGGCTGTAAAACAAATCGCGTCGCTGGACACTCATTTACGGGATCAGCAACAAATTTTTGGATGAAATGGTCATTCCTATAAGTTTATGGGGCTGGTTTATTCTTCCATACTATTCAAATTAAAAATCAAAGTTTATCGACTATTTTCACACTCGACGTATTTTCCCTCAATTTTGAATTTTTGACAGGAGAAAATTTACGACCACTAGAATTCAAAATTGCTCCAAACTTATTTTTTTTCGAAATGCGACTTAGTGAGCTTTTGTTAAACTCAGTCCAAGGGGCTCATTATTAAATTGATAGACAAAACTATAGGCAAAAAGGAAATGGAAGGATCCTATTCTATCTTCATAAGAAGCGGATTGTTGGAATGGATAAAGTAGGTTTGTGACCGACGGCAACTGACAAGAGACCCCATTGTCAATCCGTCATTTTCCTCTTAGTCTGTGAAGGAACTAGCCGTTTCAACCAATAGAATCGCTCCATTTTCTATTTGTCCTCTTTGTCTATCGCTTTGTCGATAAGTTCCAGTAATCATCCCTCGCGTGTCTAGCCCTGGAAAGGAGCAGGACGTGAACTCTGCCGTGCTAAGGAAAAACGCCGTATGAGCCTTCAGACGGTGCCAAGTTTCTTCCGATAAAAACCGAATTCACTGGGAAAATTGCGAATATCATTTTTCCAAATTTTCAGACAATTTTGTCCGCAATTTAAACTAAAATATCCGAAAATTTCGAGGGCTAATATGCAAGAATGTCGCCAAAAATACATGAATTATCGAGGGAAATTTGGCAACTCTCATGCTCATACGGCGTTCTTCCTTAGCACGGCAGAAATTGACAAGAGAGCCGAGGTGGAAATGGAGGTACCCCCGATTAGAGGCGGAGCCAGCAATTTGGCAACACCGGATTTCCTCCATTTAAACGTATGCTAAATAATCGATTCTTGTCGGACTACCTCCGGTATGCAGACGGAAGGTCTACAGCAAAAATGTCCACAAGCAGGAGGTCTACATTTTTTGGTCTACATTTACAATGTCTAGAACTAAAAAGTCCACTTCGAAAATGTCTACAAATAATAGTGTCTTAATGTCTTCAAAAAAAAAGTCCATACTCAGAAAGCTCACTTCTGAATGGAGTAGGTAGAATGAACTCGCATCAGTTACTCCTTCGGTTGTGTCTATGGAAAACATTTACTTTCTTAGGTATTCTAAAAGTAGATTGCTTGATTGTAGACATTTTGACTGTAGACCAAAAAATGTAGACATTTTTTGAGTAGACCTTTTTTCCGTAGACCTACTGTCCGTGATTCGCACCCCCCCCCCCCCCCCAAGAATCGATATATTTCTATAGGTTTAAATGGAGGAAACGGATCCTTGGATGCTCCGGGTGGGTGAGAGGGAGGAACTAGGGGAGAGTATGGACACTTACTCGGATGATGTCGAAGAGGAAGTTGCCGGATCCGCCTCCGGAGCCGCCGCCTCCGCCGAGGTTGAAGAGGAATCGCTTGTTCCGGCCGTCGTCCTCCGTCGGCGCCTCCTCGTTGTCCTCCACGTCCGCGTTCGTGTCGTCATTCGATGACGTCTCGTTCGTGTCTAAGTCCTTGTCCGTGTCTGCAACCAACCAAACAACAGATGAAAAACAACAGATCAACACCCAGTCACAGAGAATAACTTCAATGCCGCCGTGATAGCGGAGAGAGCCGTAAGTGCAAAATTATCGAAATCGAGTTTTCTTCAAAATTTGTCTAAACTCTTCTAGATGAAATTACTGAGACAGCTAAAGCAGCAAAAATCATCCTAATTTAATGAAAACAAGACGTATGAGAAAGCCGTAAGTGCACAAAAAATGACATAGTTTTTTTCAAGACAGCCGCAGGTGCATGAGAGCCAATGAAAACAGTGCTTTCCAGTAAGGTACCGCCCTCTTCTGCCAATTTCTAACCTGAAAATGTGTTTGTAGTGCGTCCAAAACGCAACCACGAAAGCATGCAGAAGATAGCACTTACGGCTGTCTTGCCTAACAATAACCCAGCATGAGAATGAAAAATACCCTTTTTATGTAATGGAAATAAAATCAGTCGATTTTTAATCGTCCATACGATTTCTAGGAGTCTTCCGTACGATTAGTGGCAGTTTGACAAAGAACGGAGGCTTCTTTCAATAAAATGTTCTTGTCAGAAGCTTCTGAGCCCGTTTTCTCAAAACTTCATTTTTGCAATTACGGCTCTCTTCGCTATCACGGCAGAATGGGTCAGCTGCGCTGTTCACAGAAACGTGGTTTGGCGCTTGATTCTCGTAGAATAGCTAAAAATATTAAGATCCGTCCAATCCGCAACTCCCTACGTTCAACATTAATCGAGATATCGCCCTTTGAAAAGTTGGGTTTTTGACATCATCCACCGCGGTAGTGACACTTTTGGTTTCTTCGACCGTGCTTTCAGCAGTCAGCGTGACGCACATTTGCGCTGGTTGTTTGCCGTGAAATTCGAATGAAAGCAAGATGGAAGAAACCAAGGGTGTCACTGCCGCGGTGGATGACGCCCAATGACGCCATAAACGGAATTTTTCAAAGCGCGATGTCTCGGTTAATATTGAACGTAGGAAGCTGCTGTTTGGACGGATCTTATTATTTTTAGCTAATCTACAGGAACCAAGTATCAAAACACGATTCTGTGACCAGCGCAACTGACCTATTGGGCTTCAATGAGGAAGCAAGAGCAGCAATTTGAATTGCGGCCTGAGTGGCACCCCCTACTTTTACGAGACGTCTCTGATTGGCTCATCCGCCTGGTGCCCAATTTCTGGGGCCCCTATGGAAAATAACACGGGTTCATTTTTCATCGAAAATATCTCGAAAACAAGGAAAAATTTATTCTTCGGAGATTTCAGAAATCTATTCTCCAGTTTTTTTAAGATATCATGGGTAATACATGACATTTGTTTCTCAAACATACCGAGCAGTTCGACCTGGGATTTTGTTTTTTCATGACACCAAGTGTCATATTTTAAGTTGATAAAACACATTTCCCGAGTCGAACTGTTCAGTGTGTTTGAGAAACAAATATCTTCAACTGGCAAAAGATATTTGTCTCTATATCATGCTTAGGATTAGTAGTAACTAGAAATGGCCGTTTGAGAGGCGGCAAAGGTCGGCAAAGTGGTTGCTTTCGGCGGTTTAGTAGCATTTGATCATTTTTAGCACGAAAAATTTTGATCTCCTCAGAGTTTTGCAGACCCATGGAAATGGTATTTTTGGGTAGTCCTTTGGAAAACCGATTAAATAAACTTCCCTTTGGATGAATATCATGGAAAGAAATAGTTTTACAACATTACTTGAGAGGTCAAACTATATCACCCACCCGTAACGTGCCACATCCCGTACTCATGAGAGCTAAGCGGGCGACTTTTAAAAGGCTGTATTTCACAAATAGGCAAATAAGAAAGATAATCTGTAAATCATGTCTAGGATTAGTACTAACTAGAAATGGCCGTTTGAGAGGCGGCAAAGGCCGGCAAAGTAGTTGTTTTCAGCCATTTATATCGAAGAGTACGTGAAATTATCGTAAAATAGCATAGCGCTATGTCTAATGGTTTATGTAGAGGTATAGACTTAAGCTAAAGATATGATTGAAACATGGTAAACCTTAAAATTAACTTGAATTTTAGAATTTCACCCTCAAAATATTGTTTCTGTGTCCAAAATGGTGGCAAACCTCAATTAGAAACATCACTCGAAAGTGATAAGTGAGGAAAAGGATACAGCCGTAGAAAGACGGCCGGCGCGCTCACCTTTAGGAGCTTTCCATTTCCTTATCACTCATCCAATCATCATGATATTTAGCCGAAATACCCTTCAGAGTATGTAGTGTCGATCAGTCGTGCTATTTTTCATTTTTTCCAAAAGTCTATTTTTTCGAATTAATGCCGCCTAGACCGGGCTCTGGAACTAATGTACGGCGGCGTGCTGCCAGCACGACATGCGCACTGGCGCCTACAAACCTAACAGGGATACTTCACGCACTGCGTAATGCGTGAAGTATCCCCGTTAGGTTTGTAGGCGCCAATGCGCGTTTTACGCTGGCCGCCCGCCCGCCGCGGTATTATTACTTGCTTCGGTTCGAAAAGGCAAAGTGCCTTCAATTATTTGAGTATGCATCACGGACATCCTCTGTGTTCGAATAGTTGTATCAAGGCGTTGTCATCATTTTCCGTATTTGCTGACGAAAATACTAGTTGGAAGAGCCTCATTCTGACTTTTCCTCGATCACAAGAAGAAGGAAAAGAAGACAACGGAGGAAAGGGAGGAGAAGGAGCAGGAAGAAAGAAGAAGAAAAATGAAAGAAAAAAACGAAAGAGAATAACATGAAATAGGAGAGGAAGAAGAAGAGGAAGAAGAGAAAGATGACGAGGAAACACTGATTAGAGGAGGAAGGAAAAGAGACCATTATTTAGACGTATTTTTATCAAGCGGAACTATGTGAATTAAACCATGAGCCCTGAGACCCATAAGAGTACATGCATAACAGGGCTCACGTCATAATACTCATAGTTCCCTTTGACAGAAATACGTCCCTTTTGTGCGAATCCATTGATCATTCTTGGTGGGTGTTGATGAACTCATCCTCCTAAACTTCTGCTCTCATAACGGTCGTTTATCCTCGCCTACGATTGTGGAGGTCCTATAAAACGTGAAATTGCTACAAAAAATCAATTCCGGAGACCGGGATTCTCATTTTGCTCTGTAAAAGTGCCCTGACCCGCTCTGCCTGTGTGAACTTCATCAGGAGAGACCTGCGCTATGTAATAATGTTCATCTTCGGATTGTTCCGCCTTTAAAAACGCCTTGATTGTTATTATGAGTCGCGTGTTGCCTACCTGTGGCGGCGCTGGAGGACTCTCCAGTTTTCGAGTCATCACTCGTCTGCCTTGTTTTCCGCACCTTCACCTCCGACGTTTTCGATTCGGCTACTTGATTCTCTGTCTCCGACGGCTGGAACATTAGAGAGATTGCAATCAATAAGGCTTCCGATCTCATTGGCCGTAAGTCACTTGATTAACATTTCAACATCATCTTTTTTTTCTGAAAAATATCTTTACGATCCATAACTCAAATCCCCCTGATTAGTCGCGAGCAAAACTCAAGCCGCTCATTTTGTGAAACGTGCAGAAGCATATTGATGGTGAAACTCTTAAACTACGTATCTCGATTCGCGACGTTGCAAACCTCCTGTCATAATTTGGGCGTATTTTTATCAAACGGAACTATGTGCATTATGACGTGAGCCCTGTTACGCACATATCCTTATGGGTCTCAGGGCTCATGTCTAAATGCACATAGTTCCGTTTGACAGAAATCCATCCATTTATTGATTAATGTTCTATTGAAAAATCAAAGAGGAGCGGGAAGTTTTAAAAACCGCAAACGATATACGTGCTTTGGGAGTTCCCCCGTTGCTGTTTGATGTTATTAGTTCATCATTTGACTGCTGCCTAAATATTTATTAAGAAGAGTGATTTGACTGTTTGCTTGCGACATATAGAGTAAGGTAGCTTTACTACTGAATTATCCACCAGGGAAGGGACTCAAGATTTTTCTTGCCTTGCTCCTTTAAATTTAGAAGATGCATTTTTTGTGTGCACAATAATTGGTATGTTCGACTTCAAGAAAAACAGGAGCGAAAAATGACCGCTATTGTTAATCGTGCTGAGCCACAACTTGCCCTCTTAAAATCTAACTAACACGTGGAGAATGACGAGAATTCTGAGAAAGTGGCGATATATTTGGGGGCCAATCTGCTGGGCGAAGGACAGAACGCCGTATGAGCCTTCAGACGTTGCCATGTTTCCTTCTATAGAAACTGAATTTACTTAGAAAATTGTGAAAATTTGATTCCAAGAACTGCAGATAGCTAAGTACGCAATTTGATCTAAAACATCTGAAAATTTCAAAGAAAAATGTGCATGAATGTCGTCAAAAATACATGTTTTATCAAGAGAAATTTGGCAACTCTCGAATGTTCATACGGCGTTCTTCCTTAGCGCAGCAGCATTATTATTACAATCTCAGTGATCATTTTTAAAAAAATAATCTTGTTTGGAGTTCTGTCCATCATTTGGGTTGAATAAAACCTTGAAAGGTTTACAACCATTGTTGGTTGACGTTTCGTTTTCATTGATTTCTGTCATCAATTTTTTTTTTAAAAATATAACAACTGAAAGAAAAAAAAGTGTATGGAACGGTTCTTTTTACTGCTCGATTGATTCGGGTCGGATGGAAACGGAAAATGACAGAGTTCATTATTGTATTCTTCTTCTAAGTTCAGACATTTGTTGAAACATTCAAGTACTCAGTTTTTTTATCATAATCTCCAGGTATGAAAAGAATCCGACAGTTTTTGTAGTCAGGTTCAGCTTTAATATTATTTACCAAGTTTCATCTAAAATGGATTTTTAATTGATTTGAATTTCACTCTCAGAAAATACCTTGACTCTTTAAAGTACCTAATCTCACCGATTCAATGCGTAATTTCAGTATAAAAGTTTCAATTCGGAAGGAGGAAATTTTAGATTTGGCATTTTACTCAGTGTAGATCGTCTCAAATCTCGAGTTAGGTCCGCACGAAATCTGGATGGAAAGTTCGTCGTTTATACCGTGTAATTAAGTCATCCCTCGACGCCAGTGCTAGATAATTTCGTTGAGGCACATTTAGCTTTTAAAAAAAGGGAAAAATATTCCTGAGGAATTGACTCTTTTGCTTGTTAAAAATCCTCCGTTGCGCTGCGCGGACCGCACTTGCTATCCAAAACAGATTCTCTCGATTATTGGAAGCCGTCAACCTTGAGGCGCAGCGGACAAAAGAGCAGCAGCTTAAACCAGGGTGACAAAATTCTCGACAATTTTTTTGCGAAGCTATGGCGACGGCAGAATAACCTCAATCATTAGTCAGTAGCCTCGTAATACTGGTTTGTCATATTAATTCACTACATTTCCAAAACCTCCTCGCAAGAGAATGGCAGGTACAACATGTGGGTAACTTTTAAAAGGGAACGCTAGTCTTCAAAAAGCTAAAGAACCGAAGACTCTCGCAAGAATAATCCTTGGAGGATGTTTACTCTGAAAATGCTACATTGCATCCTCCTTTAAAATCTTGCCCTGCTTTCAGAGTACATTATTCTTAGTTCCTCCGTGATACATTTCTTACTTACAAACCGCCAGAGCTGTTACCAAGAACAACCATGTCGACTAAAACTAACCCATCTTTGGGGCGATTTGGGATGAGTTCCTGCAACGTGCTTTTGATGAAAAATCGCATTTTATTGAATTTTGAGAAAATCCATTTTCTCAGACATCCGATTCGCAGCTCTTCTAAACCCAGTGTGGCATAGGAGAAAAGTTACCTCAAAATATAATTACTTAGATGAGCTTGAAATGCGCTAATGCCACTATACATTCAAACATTCATCCCCTCCTGTGTGTTCCATTTTGGTTTTTTCAATTTATATATTCTAAATTTGTTTCTACCAATGTAGAAAATATTGAACTACTATGCAATACTTACTTGATCTACTTACCATCATAGCAGTCTATTCGCCAAAATAAGAAGCTCTAATGCTGGAGGCTTCATTTTTGATCATGGAAGTTATTTAGTTTTTGAAATATCTTATGTATTATATTAATTAATTTAAAAGAGAATGTTACAATAGTTTTGGGTTCACACTATTTTGAATTAAAACAAAGTTGGAAATTATTTTAAAATAAACACCTACGTAAGGTTTAGTTTGGTGAGAAGCACAAAATTTATGTCATGCTGGTTTAAAATCGAGGAATCGTAGAGTACTTTTTAGTCAACAATTTTAGGACTATCTTAGGATCACGGAGAAAGAAAATTAATAGCGAGAATTATACTTGATGTATGATTAAAACTGTGTAAGTATATGAGAGAACTCGGGAAAATTTGTGTTTAACACGTTTATGACCCCAATTAAAAATGTTCACTGTTATAGGTTACAACAAAGGCTATCCTAAAAATATTACTCTTTTCATGCAGCTCTTGTATCTTTTCAATTAAAATATTAATTACTTATATAGAATCAAAACTATTATTCTCTTCATACAGCTCTTGTACCTTCTTATATTGAACTTCGCTCTCGCAATAAATATGCACTGTTAAAAAATCTGAAAATGGACTAACAAAAATTTATAAACTATATGGACTGTTTGATCTTATAATATCGAATGGTCATGCTTTATAAAATTCACTAAGAAAAGGTTCAAAAATTGATCACCATAAGAGTAAATATGATATGATTTGTGTACAGACGGATTCTTTAATGATCATAAAAGGTACCTTAGTCAAATATACCTTTTTCTTCCCAAATAATCATCACCCTGAAAAAAAAACGAAACTACATCTTGAACTAAATTATACTTTTTAATGTTTATTGCATGCGTATTTATAAATAATAATGAATAAATTAATAATAAATAATCACTTAAAACTTATATAAACTTATGTTTAAAGCTCATGTAATGGCATCATAGGCGGTTCTACGGGGGTGCCAGTGGGCGCCAGGCACCCCCAAGCAAAAATTAAGTACGGTTATCGGAACCGTGAAATTACTGCTTATAAATATTCTGTATTCGCTCACACTGAGAAAAAATCCCAGCAATTCATTGAAAATGTGTGAAACAGAATTAAAATTGATAGCCGTGTTTTGCAAAGATTCCACTGTTTTTTATGGTAAGATTGTAGTTTTGATGGAAAGTTTGGCTAAAAATTTTCTAAATTGAATTTACAGGTATTTAAGTGGAGAGGAAGGAGAGAAAAAGAGTAAGGAGGGTAGGGAAGGGATAAAACTTGAGGGCCGAAACTTAGGCCTCCCCTAAGCGACCGTCCCCTTTGGAGCCGGTCTCCGACATTTTCCACCTCTGGGCACCCCCAAGAATGAAGGTCTAGAACCGCCTATGAATGGCATTATGTAAACACTAGAATATTCTATGCGATAAATGATCTGTGAAACAGTGTGAATAGTCTCATTATGTTTGAAGAGAGCGTTTGTAGTGTGTCTATGGAGTAATCGAAAGTTTTGTGACTTTGTGTAATTTTATCCAATGAGGATTTTAATTTCATTAAAGAATATTAAATTCTGCGATAAACGGGCTGTCTCATGTTTTCAAGAAATGGCATATTGATGGCGTTTTGAATTTTGGCACCTTGTTTCTGAGAAAAATTGTAATTTAGGTACTCTGACCATGACCCTCTCTATGCTGTACTCTGAAAATAAAAATAAAAACAAAATATAAAAACCTGATCCCGATTATAATAAAAAGGTTTTAGAGACGTTGAAGGATTGAAATAAACTGTAGGGAGCTTATGAGAATAACAGAGAGGAGTAAAGTGAAATGAACTATCTGAGAGTACATTTTGAACATGGAATTTGAGAAGAAAAGTCATGAATTCGTACATACTTTTATTTTTGCGCAAATTTGTTTTCCAGCTTTCAATGAATATTTAGTTAATACCTGAGTATGTCTACAAAGCAAATAAAGAGGAAGAATTTTAAAATTACAAGTGAGAAATAATGCTCAAAAAGATAACACTTTAGCAGCTGGTCGATAAATTCCAGTAAAAATGTTTGTCTACTGCATACCTGTTCAAGCTCGTTTACTTTGAAATTACAGTATTGATATATTTGACGGTGAAATGGGAATTTAAAATTATCTAGCGTAGGAAAAAATGAATAAATACCAAATGAAATTGAGTGTTAAGAGACAAAATGCTTAAAATTCAAAACATTATCAAAATGCATCAGCTCAAAAACAATGTTGAACTTGAAGTAAGTATGAAGTTCAAATTATTCCAGCGACTCAGGTTTGGAATATCATTTGTTAATATACGAATGAAACAATATAATAATAATCGGTCAGTTATTGTATGTTCTGCATTTTTAACTGACTAGTATTGATTGTTTGACAGCCTGAAGATGCAT